CCTACTTTGTCATTGTGCGTGCATTCCCGATTGCGCCCCCTTCCGCTTCGGACTCTCCAAGCCGCCGTACCACCACCTCGTTCCCTTTTGCTTTGTTGCCCGTCCTGCTCTCGTCTCACCTCGCCCTTCATCGTCCCTCTTGGTGTCCCCCCATTATCGGCGGCATCCTCCTCTTCGTCTGTCGTGCATTCTCCAGATTGTCATTTCGGCTCCAGGTTGGTAATGCTTCACTCGCTCCCCTTATTTCCTTTAGTTCTTCCTTTGAGAAATGATTGTAGTGGAAAGGGAATGATAGGATAATGCTAGGACCGTTCACCATGCACACACAAAGGGAAAATGGGTTTGCTATTTGGCCGAATGGGTTTTCTTTTCTGTTCTTGATTCTAAATGGGTGTTTCGCATTTTGATCAGTTTGGTTTAGGGTGTTTTAGTTTTTTGTTTTCGCAATAAAGTCTGGGGAATGCAATGCTAATGTTTCAATTTTTGTTTTTGTAATTGAAATTGACTATGTGCTGGTTTGGTTTTCTGCCATAAAGCCTGGGGAATATAAGTTATAAGCCGTTATGCTGTCAATTTTTTTCAAATGGAATAGCACATTAGTAGTAGTAGATATTTTTCAAACTGAAATGAAAGTAAATTTTTGTTGAATTACTAGTTGTTAACAACTACTAGTTGTTAGCAAGTAGAATTAAAGAGGGATAAAGTGATCAATAGTGACTCATGTGTTGACTTTCTATTTTTGTTTAATTCTCATAATATCTTTGAGTCACTGATCACATTTTCCTCTAAATGATTCATCTTAGTCGGGGACCATGGGCAAAGAATGGATGTCCGCCAATCGTCTATCAAAAGAATATTGGGATGGGGTAGAACATTTTATTAAGTTTGCGATTGAGCACGCCGATGATCGCAACAGGATTATTTGCCCCTGTCTTAAATGTTGCCTTTTGAAGTGGGTTTCGCCATCCGATTGTGAGAGCCACTTAATTATCAATGGAATTGATCAAAGTTACAAGTGTTGGACAAAGCACGAGAGACAAGAGATGTGAGTAATAGTAGTCGAGGCATAGTGAAAGCTGTGGATCATCTAATCTTGACATGAGTACATGTGAAGCTGATCGTCTTGAGGAGATGACAGATGCGATTGAACGGGAACTGAGATTGTCCTGAAATTTTGATAGATTGAAGTGTGATGCTGAGACACCTCTATATGAAGGTTGTACTGATTTCATAAATTGTCTGCAGTGTTGAAACTGTATAATTTGAAAGCAAGAAATGGGTGGAGCGACACAGGCTTCACAGAACTGCTGTTGCTTGTTAAACAAATGCTACCGAAGAAAATGAGCTTCCAAGTAAAACGTATGATGCAAAGCAAGTGTTGCGCTCTGTCGGCCTCAGCTATGAGAAGATACATGCTTGCCCCAATGATTGCATTTTGTTTAGGAAGGAGTATAAGTCATATAAGTGTTAACTAAGTGTCCTAAGTGTAATGCATCACGCTACCAAGAGAATGGGAAGAGCCCGAAGAAGGAATTATGGTATTTTCCCATAGTGCCAAGATTCAGACGCTTGTATAGTAATGTAGAAGATGCGAAAATTTAAGGTGGCATGCAGATGAAAGGGTTAAAGATGGCATGCTTCGCCATCCTACTGATTCTCCAGAATGGAAGAAGTTTGATATTGAGTATCCTGAATTCAGGGAAAGATAGAAATCTACGTCTTGCATTAGCCACCGACGGGATGAACCCTTATGGGATGCAAAGCAGCACCCATAGCACATGGCCAGTGATTTTGTTTATATATAACCTTCCTCCATGGCTATGCATGAAACGCAAGTATTCAATGATGTCTATGATAATATCTGGGCCAAAGCAACTGGGAAATGACATAGATATATATCTAGCTCCATTAATTGACTCGAAAGTATTGTGGGAGAATGGAGTTGATGTATATGATGCATATAAGGAAGAAAATTCAAGTTGAGAGCTATGTTATTTGGCACAATTAACGACTTTCCTGCGTATGGTAATCTCTCAGGGTATAGCATTAAAGGACAACTTGGTTGTCCCATTTGTGAAGAGAGCACAGATTCCATAAGGTTGAAGCATGGAATGAAAAATTCATATATGGGACATCGTAGATGGTTGCATCGTAATCATCCTTACCGGCGATTCAAAAAATATTTTAATGGGAATTCAGAAGAAGGTAAGGCACCAACACCGTTGATTGGGGAGGATGTATTTCAAAAGGTGAAAGATATAGATTGTGAATTTGGAAAACCTTTTGCGAAGCATGTTGGAACAAGTGGGTGGAAGAAGAGGTCTATTTTCTTTATACTGCCGTATTGGATAACCCTGAATGTGAGACATTTTTCTTGATGCTATGCATATTGAGAAAATGTATGTGAAAGTCTGTTTGGCACATTACTCCATATTCCCGGGAAGACTAAAGATGGCATAAATGCCAGGCTAGACATGGTTGAAATGGGGATAAGGGAGGAATTGGCACCAGAGGATAAGGGAACTCGTACATTTCTTCGTCCGGCAGCTCACACCCTTTCTAGAAAAGAGAAAAGTAGTTTTTTGTGAGTTTCTTGCTTCAGTAAAAGTGCCGGAAGGTTACTCTTCTAACATTAGTAACCTTGTGTCAATGAAGGATATGAAGTTAAAAGGTTTAAAATCTCATGACTGTCATGTCTTAATGGAAAACTTTATTCCAGTGGCAATACGGGCTATTTTACCTGATAAGGTACGAGTTACGATCAAAAAGTTATGTTTCTTCTTTAAGTCTCTTTGTAGCAAAGTGATTAATCCTAGTAAATTGCCAAGATTGCAAACCCGAATCATAGTTACGTTATGTGAACTTGAAATGTATTTTCCTCCGACTTTTTTTGACATCATGGTCCATTTAACCATTCACTTAGTTAGAGAGGTCCAATTGTGTGGCCCAGTGTATTTAAGATGGATGTACCCAGTTGAGCGTTACATGAAAATATTGAAAGGGTATGTGAAAAATCGAAGTCGGCCAGAAGGTTGTATTGTAGAACGATATATTTGTGAAGACTACTGAATTTTGTACCCATTACTTAAAAAATGCAAGTGATATTGGGGTTCCAATGTCTCGTCATGAGGGAAGAACAGATGGAGAAGGGATTATGGGAAAGAAAGTCGTAACTATTTCAAACCAATAGTGGGAGCAGGCACATCTATATGTATTGCACAACTCCGAAGAGATTGAGGACTATGTGCATGAGCATATTGATGAGCTAAAGAGGGATAATCCCAATAAACTTGAAAGTTGGTACACCAAAACACACAATAAACAATTTACAGCATGGTTGAGAGAGCATGTGCATGGCAAGTATAATAATGATCCTAATTCTGTTTCGAAGAAATTAAAGTTGTTGGCAGATGGACCGAGCAAACATGTGATTTCTTTCACAAGCTACCTTATGAATGGATTCACTTTCTATACTAAACAACAAGATGATAGGAGTAAACAGCAAAATAGTGGCGTAACTCTTGTAGCTAGTACCATGCATATATCGAGTGCCAAAGATAAAAATCCTATCTATGCACGTATGTCATACTTTGGAGTGATTGAGGATATTTGGGAGTTGGATTAAATTGAATTCAGAGTTCCGGTATTTGGTTGCAAATGGGTGGATAATAATAATGCATTGAGGATTGATGACTTAGGTTTTACAATTGAATTTGAATAAAGAAGGATACAAGGAAGAGCCATTCATTTTGGCTTCTCAGGCTACGCAAGTGTTTTATGTCCTTGACCCGGCTGCCAAAGGATGGTCTATTGTTTTGTTGACTAATAAATGGATATTGAAGAGACAGGGTATGAGACAATGCAATTGAAGATGATCCTTTCAAGGGGCCTCACTTGATTCTCATTTAAATGAAGATCAATCCATGTATGTCAGACATGATCACAACGACGGAATATGGATTTCAAAGAGGGGAAAGTGTTTCGTAAGAAGATCAAAACAATTCAAACCAAGAAGAACATGCAAAAACATAAGAGTAGAAAAAAAAAGATCTTCTTAAACATGCATGTAAATTCTCTCATTATTTTCTTTGATTCTTTTATTTGTTTTAATTTTGTTCAAATAAATTTCGTCATTAATGACTTTATTTTCATTTAATGGATTCTGATTCATTTTGTTTACTTCAATTTCATCGCAGATGGCAGACGATACCGAATCTAGCATTGATAACCCATCTCAGCCAAGAGATGTCTCTGAGCAGGAGAGACAGTTGCAAGAGGAGGCAGCACGCATACAGAGGGGCCTTTGTGTCATGCAAGAGGTCGTGAAAGCTCGAACAAAAGGAAAGAAATCTGCCATACAGTGGAATAAGAAAGGACAAGCTGTACGGTCAAATAAATTTATCAGCTATATTGGGGCAGTGGCACGAAGCACCGTGCCCATTACAGCGCAGCATTGGAGGAGGGTTGATCGTTCAGTGCGAGACACTATTTGGACATATGTATCGGTAATATATTATAACTCAAATTTCGTTTTCTTACAAGCTGCGTGACACTAATGTGTTGTTTTATATGTTTTGCAGTCTGCATTTGATATAAATGAGAGCAGGAAGAGGTTTGGAGGGGAAGGCTGGGAGGGCACTACGCTCTTTCTGATATTTTGTCACACACAAGTACTTGAAGGATCCTTCCACAGCCGACGAGTCCCAGGTTCCTAGCTTGATACGGGACTTGGTCAAACCAGAGGATTGGGCTGCTTTTGTGACGTCACGTCGTGATAGGCAATTTCAAGTAATAATCCTCGCTCTTTTTGATATTAATAGTCCATTTTGTTTAATCTATATATTGTTTAATTGTGAATCTACTTTGTTTTTGCAGGAATTAAGTTCCCAAAATAAGGAAAGAGTAAAGAAGAATGAGTATCCCTACCGAAAGGGCCGCTTGGGTTATGCGGGCCTTGAGCAAGAGGTGACTCAGCAGGAGGGATCAGATGTCACTGTATCATGTCAAATGCTGTGGGCACTGGCCAGGCAAAATAAAGATGGCCAAATTATAATCCTCCTCGCGTTAAGGAGGTCGTGGACAGGATGGTGAGTATTATTCTAAATTAAATAATCTTCACGTTATTGTCAAATATCTTTAAGTATGAATAACTATATCAATGTTTGTTGCACAGGAGAGTTTGTCCCAGGAAGTTTCGCATGGGGCATATTCTGCAGATGACCAGGATATATTGAGGAGGGCATTGGGGACTCCTGACCATCCTGGTCTTCTTAGGGGTGTCGGTTATGGAGTCACCAAGAGAGATTACTTTGGGTACCGACAAAAGCCCTCTTCATCGTGCACGCCTTCCTCTGCTGAGTTCATGGAGCTGAAGGAAGAAACACGCTGGTTAAAGGAGCAGGTTAAAGTGCAAGCGCTCCTAATCGAGCAGTTGATCAAGATACAAGCACCACAGCCGGCTCCGAATCTCAGCCCAAGTGGCAAAGACAGCTGCACATTCTCCTTGCTACCTGAGGTATAATACTTGTGTTTATATAATTACATTCAATAATTTATATATCTAGCTAACTTGTCTCTTATGTTAAACAAATCAGGGTGAAGCGGACGTTCAGTGTATGGCAGATAGCCCTAAACATCACACTGTTGCAACGGCCGCATGTTCAATTTACCGGGGGAGAGTATAATTCATAATGTTCCTCTCCCTGCTGATCATGTGAGGGTGCAGTTGAACACTACTATTGATGCGAATTATGCCCTCCCGATTCCCACCCCAGATGCAGAGACAGTGGCTCAAGCAGTGGGTAGCTTTGTCGCTTGGCCTGGCCGTCTTCTTACATTAGGACATCCTTCAAAGGTATATATGTATAGGTCTACTTCATTCAGCTGATTTAAAATAAACTCTATTTTAATTACTAACAGTTGTTTGTCAGTCTAAGGGGAAGAAGAGCCTATTGGGTGATCACTCATTATCATCACCACAGAAGCAGCCCTCTGAGCCCGTTCAAGTGGTATCATCAAGATTCCGAATATGTCTTGAGGAATATGCAATTGGGGCCAGATTAGAACATGGCGAGGATTTCATGATTCCCCTAGAGTTTGAGCCAGAGGTATACGGTCGACCCTCGTCAGATTATGTCACAAATGAAGTATTGAAAGAGATTCTGACGCATGGAATGGCCAGCACAAATGCCTGTAACTTTTATATCAGGTATTTGTTAAAACCTTAACTAAATACTTAAGTATTTAAACATTTATTCTATTGATATCTTCGTTTGTTGATTTAGATATCTTTTCAAGAACTTCATAGCCCCTGGTGGCCTTGATGACAAGTTCAAGATTCAGCCCCCACACTTTTGCTGGCCACGGACCTAATATGAAGAAAGACTTATCCAGAGACTTGTTAGATATCTTCATTTCTAGGGCAACACCGGGGGCTCAGACTTTGTTTTTGGCGCCTTATTGTCAGGGTAAACTTTCCTAAATTCTTTCATTTTCAAAATAATTTGTAATAGTTCTAATTGTCTTTCTTATACTTAGGGGACACTGGATGCTGATTGTGGTCAATCCCACAAAGCCGAGGATTTGGTATCTTGATTCTCTTCATGGGGATCCAACCAATCGACCATTTATGGTTTCATTGTTCAACAAGTAATTTATCTCTATTATTTAATTTAATTTAATTTCTTGCTTCAATCAAATTTTTGACAATCATTAATATTCAATTTTATTGTCTTCTCAGGGCTTTGTGGCTATACCGCACAAATCAGGCCTTACCCTGCCCCCCGGTAAAAAACGGCCAATTTGACGATACCTTCTCGTGGAAGAAAGTGAAGGTATTCACTACCATGATTTACTATTCTACTAAATATGGTTTATTTATATGATTGACTAATATTATTTCCTTTTCCATTCTTTACAGTGCCCACGTCAGCCCAACAAGAGCTCCCATTGTGGATATTGCGTGATGAAATTTATGAAGGAGATAATTCTGCACAATGCTGACTCAATTCCCACGTAGGTAATATGCATTTGTTAAGGTTCAATTTATATATTTAAGAATTATTGTACTTACTGTAGCTTTACATTTCTATCTAACTTAAGTCATAATTTGTGGTTGCATACAGTACTTTGCCGACACATATTGCACAGTGTATTCATCTGCTCAGATGGAAGAAATCGTTGAGGAGTTGGCGATGGCCTTATTCCGTCAGTGGGCACAACATAGATAGGGAAGTGTACATTAAGACAGTGTATGTACGTACAGCTAGCTTTGGTTTCAATATAATTTTGGTTTTGGTTCATTTTTGGCTGTTGGTTAGTTTTAGGCATTGCACAACTTTGGCAATTGGCTAATTTTGGAATTGGTTCACCTTTTTGTACTTGCCAGAATTTTAATATATCAGTTGGTTTTTTCATTGGTTCATGTATATATATGATAATGTAAATATTTTCGTTCATTAACATATATGTATATGGTTGAATTGGTTTGAATGCTGGCCTGCATGATTCTGTTGAATGAGCGTTTGTTATCGGTTTCAAAATTGCAGGGGGTTGCTGGCAAAGGAGAACGAATTTTTAAAAAAAAAAACAATAATACTTGACGGTTATTAGTTAAAACCGTCAAGTATTATAACATACTTGACGATTACTTTTAAAACCATCAAGTATTAAATAATACTTGACGGTTTTTCAAAAATAACCGTCAAGTATGTTTATAATACTTGATGGTCACTCTATGGAACCGTCAAGTATTACAGAATACTTGACGATTTTTGGAACCGTCAAGTATAATCAAAATAATTGGCGGTTTTTCTCTAGTAACCGTCAAGTATGATTTAAATATTTGACGGTTAATAACCGTCAAATATTTGCTGTGGAAATATATGACGCCAGTATAGTTGACGGTTTTTAACCGTCAATATGATCCAAAATAACCGTCGAGTATTTTTCATTTTGTAGTAGTGGGGGTTTCTTTCTTTTAAACCAGCCAAGAAGTGGGTCAAAATTCTCTCCATACAATTTACTTTGTAGATTGTTTCCTTAAGGTACGAATAGCTCAGCATGAGAAGATCAACTCATGTGGCTTCTTCAAGCTGTAGTCCAATCTTCTCCAATGTATTTCTGCCCGATTTGAAAACATCCAATATGTTGTTTGTTTTGCAGTAATCCAAAAAGACACCTAGTTGTTGTGAGGATGTTAGGATTAAGGTTTTGATGATAACAAAGTAAGAAATTTGTGTTTCAATATGTTGATTGATTATCTGATCGATCAAGGATTTATCGATAAGCTGATAGATAATATCTCTGTACAATCAAGTAACTTAGCAGAAACTTTGATCGATAACTTGTTCGATAATGTGTTGATCGATCATTGTTAACTTAGTTATGTATGAAAGTCTGGAATAAATTATCAATCACTTGATCGATAATCGGAATGATCGAACATCGAGATACAAATCTGATAGGGAAATTATTGATCACATGATCGATAAACAAATTATCGATGAGAAGACAGATAAATAGTAATGTACTCTACTCATTCTATGTTTTGCTTTAGTCATCATTTATTGACCACATTATCGATCAGTCATTTATCGATAATATGATCGAACATTACTTCATAACTCTGTGTGTAGGTAATTATTTCAGTAGCTTATCGATCAGCAAATTATTGATCACATTATCGATAATCAGCACATCGTGTTTAAATCATGGTTCTTCGATCACAGGATCTATAATCACATTATCAATAATATGATCGATCACCGCGCTTCATGTTTGCCTTCTTTTTCACATAACGTGATCAATAAATCAGTTCTTTGATTTTACAAGAATAAACCTCTTTGTCGATCACTTGATCGATCATTCATTATTCAATACACCTATATAGCTTGAGTTTTCACTGAATATACTTTTGCTAATTGTTTATCGATAAGGTTATCCATCATCCATTTATTGATAATATGTTTGAAAATTATTGTTTTAAAATATGTTCTATAACACTTTGTTTATCGATGACCTGATCGATCAACAAGTGTTTGATCACTTGTTCGATCAAGAGGCGATTTCAATTTAAACTTTAACTAGTCACGATATTTCTCAAAATTTATCATCTAGTTCATTCGAGCTTTCCTTAGCCTTCATGATTGTCTTAATTCTCTATTTAAAGAGATTCAAAATCAAAAGTGACCTTAATCTTCTTTTTCTATGCATAGCAGTATGATGTCACTATTCCCCTTTATCGAACACTTGATCAATAAATCATTGATCCATCACTTGATCGATAAACTTAGTTATCTGTTTCAAAAGCTCTTACTCTAGATAATCGATAAACTAATCGATCAAGCAGTAATCGATCATTACTTCGATCAAGTACGATCAATTATTACACAGCACATTTAACAACTGAATGATTCTACCCGTAAACTATGAATGTTCATTTTATTGTCTGTTTGGTTCTGCCCTTGATCTTACTCTGCAAAGAAAAACTTATTGAATCAATGTATTATTGCATATTACAAAGGAAAACCCAACGGCTCTCCAACGGTTATCCAAGTAGCCTATAACCTACCTTGTCAGAAGCATTAATGGCGAAAACCATTGCAATTGGGAAAACATGCAACCGGACTCTCAACGGCTAGAAGCTCAACTATAAAAGGCGTGAAGAAGCATTAAATGAACAGATTAAATACACAAGCTACCGTCTGTCGATCATTTACTGTTATATTCAATACTCTGTTCTTCCATATACCGAACTTCAGTGATTATCATTTATTCACTCTGTAAGAGAGTCTGTACCCTTCTTCATTAATCACGATTTGTGTGAAACTCAAGAGTGTGGACTCTAGAGTGGGTTGTAACCTTACGGGTAGTAAAGGGGAGTGATTGAGAGTATCAATTACTGTACCAAGGCGCCAAGAGCCTGATCAATCTTGGAACATAGTGGAATACTCAGAGGTGTTCTGAGTACTAGACGTAGGTCAAGTGGTTGAGACCGAACCAGTATAAATCCTGTGTGTACTTTTCTATGGTGAAATCTCTCTAACTCACACTCTCTGTTTCTGATAGTATATTATTTTAATTTCACAAAATTTTTGAACTAACCGAATTCACCCTCCTCTTGGGTGAGACTGCCACTAAAATTTAGTATCAAAGCAGGTCTCTTCAGTAAAGACTTAACAATTTGAAGAGAGATCCCATGGCAAGATTCAGAGACAGCCTGCTACCCAAAGGGTGTTCAACATCCAAACCGCCTGGCTTTAATGGAGAAAACTATACTTTCTGAAAGATGAGGATGAAGATCTTCATCAAGGCGACCGAGTATGGATTATGGGACCTGATCGAGCATGGTAACTACGTTCCTATGAAAATTGTAGATGGACAACAAGTATGTAAGAGTCCTAGCGAGTTCGATGAAAAAGACAGAAAGTTGGTGACTCTAAACGACAAAGCCATCAACATACTTACCTATGTACTGAGCCAATGAGAATACTTCCGAGTTTCCAGTCTGGAAACTGCGAAAGAAATGTGGGAAGCACTGGAGATAGCTCACGAAGGGACTACCGGTGTAAAACAGAGCAGAATCAACACTCTCACCACAAAATTTGAGCTATTCAGAATGAAGGATGGAGAGAGTGTCCGAGACATGGAAGTCAGATTCTCGCATCTCATAAATCATCTCACGGCACTCAGAAAGAAGTATGGTCAGGAGGACCAAGTGAGAAAAATCTTAAGTGGTCTCACAAAAGAATGGGAGCCGAAGGTAACAGCAATTGAAGAAACGAAGGGAGAATCAATTGGCTCTATTGCGGCGCTATTCAGAAGCCTTGCAGAATATGAGAGCAAGCAAAGATATAAAAAGGAGATAAATGAGAAAAACCACAAGAGTATCGCTCTCAGAACTCAAGAGAGCGAAGATGACAACGAAGAAGACTTGGAGGATGACGAAATGAGTCTTATCGTCAGAAGATTCAAGAAATTCTACAAGAGCAAAGCCGAAAGGAAGTTTCAGTCAAAACGTAGAACCTCCACATCTTAGAATGAGCCAAAAGAACCGATCATCTGCTTCGAATGCAAGAAACCAAGACACATCAAAGCAGAGTGTCCCCAGCTATCCAAGATGAAAGACAAAGAAAAGAAGAAAGAAAGATTTAGAAAGAAGAAAGCCTTTGTCACATCAATCTGGGGAGATAGTTCTTCAGAAGAAGAAGAAAGTGATGATGAAGAAATCGCTAACATCTGTCTTGTGGTTCAGGACGACAAAGAATCAGAGACAGATGAGGTAATCACTTATGAACCCTCCTATGATGAATTACAGTCTGAATACAACGCATTACATTTAGAATTAGTAAGAATTGCAAAGGAGTTAGTAA